CTTCTTTTGTATCAGGAGTGGGAATGTTTGACCTCCAAATGTCATTGAACTACAACTCCCAGCACTCCCAATCAGACAGCCCTAGAGTTGTATCTAGTTGTAAGAGGTTCCAGGTGTTCCTTTTGTGGTAATATTTGTATTGATAATGACATATGGGTGGGGGCTGATAATAATGTAATTGCAATTGTGGGGAATTAATACATTGACATGTCTGATGGAGATATACATAGGACCGGAGAGGAAGAGTTTGGCCAGGAGGAAAAGTGTGCCTAAACTCTCATTCTGTTTATGATGCTATGGTGGCATCTTCAAGCCAAGGTTCTCACCAGGTGCTCTTTGCCCTTTGCTCTCTAGTGCTGGAGGTAGGTTCAGCCATCCCCATCATCATGGGCTCCAATATAGGGACCTCAGTCACCAACACCATTGTGGCACTTATGCAAGCTGGCGACAGGAGCGAATTTAAGAGGCAAGTATTATTGTGTGGGAGGAGGGAGCCCAGGGACGGCAGATGGAGGCCAAGGATGTAGCCAGCTTTTGCCCTGGAGAGAAGGCCAGTTGTGTGATGGGCACAGCTGGATGAAGAGCAGGAGCAGGTTGGCCGAAGGAGAAAGTATTCATCAACTATAGGAGGATGCCAGGAGACGGTTGAGGTTGGAGGCTGCTGGGGCTACAAAGTCAGGAGTAAAGAAGAACAGGCATGTCTTAAACCAGGAGTAATTAGTAACCCAGGTAAGCAAAACAAATAGGCAGAAGTGGGGCTCAGAGACATTTCTGCAATACGGACAATTTGGATGGATGCTCAGGTAGGACTCATCCATAGGTAGGACTCATCCAGCAGTCATGCCACAACTCCGATATTTCACAACAGCAAAAGCTTCTCTGTTGTCTAACAGGGCCTTTGCGGGGGCCACGGTGCATGACTGCTTCAACTGGTTGTCGGTGCTGATTCTGCTGCCTCTGGAAGTGGCCACTGGCTATCTGCACCTCATCACCAAAGTTTCCGTGGCAACTCTCAACCTGCGCAGTGGACGGGATGCACCAGAGCTCCTGAAAGTAATCACGGAGCCCTTCACTGGCCTTATTGTCCAGGTGGGTGTGCTGTGCCAGGTGGAGGATGATGACACTGAAGATCTGGAGGGTACCAGCTTGGGAAAGGCTAATCTAAACACAACTGCGCCCTCTTGGTCTTTCTCCTGGGAGATCCTTCTCGGTTTTCTATACAAGCGGTCCTCAACTTATAACCATTTCTTTAATGAAGTTACAACAACACTGAAAAAAG